GGTGCCAACTTGGGCCAGTGAAGCGACATCCTCCACAACTAGACTGAAGAACAAAATGACAGCAACTTGTCTGTTCCCCTTCCCCCGATTCCCCAGGGCTGTTCCCATCCCCCAATTCCCCAATAAAAATCTTAAAAAAAAAATGAGACACTCTTTGAGCAAGCATGTTGAAAAATTTAAAAGACACTAATTGGTAGAAGTTCTAACTGTCCTCCAAGTAACTGACTCGCCAGACTGATGTTCTCCAGTCCCTCTATGCCAGCTGCCTGTCTGACACTGAACTTCAAGGTTTATGGTTCCTCTCTTCTACAGCTTTACACTTCTGCTCCCGCTAGTCGAACTATAGGTTTCCCAAGAGTCAGTTTTATTTGTTCTAAATTTATTTATGCCAGTTGTTATTGCAACTGTGTAAGTTGATTAAATATATCAACTGATGAAATAAAGAAAAATAAAGGGAGTTATTTTTATAAAAACTAAGTTGAAAATTTTGAAAAATTGAAAGTGATTCACAAAAATTTTGTTTTGAGTTAGTTGTGAATGAGAGTACTGTAAAAGAGTAAGGAGAAACATATAAAAACATTTAAAGCATTCTCTAGTCAATTTGCTTCAAAAGTAAATAAGTTTTCATTTGTCTTCAAAACTATGGTTCTCAACTCTACATATATTTGTTTTAGCTAGGAGAGATTTTAAACAAACACAAAATACTGGGCCCTCCCCTGCTCAATGACATCAGAATCAGGCAACAGGACTGGAGTGGAGGTGTTTTCTAATCTCACCTGAAGTTAAAAACCATTGTTTCAGAGAAACTGGTATGAGATAACTTGGTACGGGATGAATTATGTATTTGTTTTATTTGAGAAAGAAGTCTTGGAACTCAAATTAGGAGACTCATTAGGAAATAAGAGCTTGGTCCTACATGAGAAAATTGGTGGATAAATATCTATTTCTATGTTTTAAATTAAATTTAAATGCTTAATCAATTAAAAAGTAGCATGCACTACTTCTATATGGTCCTCTACTTTAATCAAAATTTCAGTTAACCACCAATTCTGATTTTATTATATGAGAGAGCTTGCATGTCCTCAAAAATACTGATGTAGTATATTGGAAAACAAAATTGACCTCACTCTCTAAAATTTGAAGATATCCACTTGACCAGTAACTTCTCATTTGCTGCCTGACCTCATCATCTACACATCAAATACAACCTGCTTTCTCCTCACAAAATACAATCAAGAATTAGCACCTTGGAAGATGCTATTCTACTAATATCGGGGGGCACCCCCTTAGCAGACCTCTGAACTTCTACTCACCATTTTCACAAGTGAGTGAGTTTGGAATAGGCGGTGTCCAGGAATCCCCAGTGCATGTGTATCTTGATGGCCCAGCAACGACCAAGTCATTGGGACAGGTTAGCTCAATGGATTCACCAATTTCATATGTCATCTTAAATGGTGAAAGCATCAGGGCTTCCTGCACAACTGGCTTGAGGCACTGTGTCCCTGCAGGCAGAGAAACAGGTCAGATGTGTTCAGTGGAGCAGAATACTCACCAGATATGGGCAATTTCAATATGACCTATTTCATTCATTCTGCTTTAATGCCACCTTTTGAACAGAGAACCTGGGGTGTAAGGAACCCAGGCTTCCCCTGAGAGCCTCCCTTTAGTTCTATTATCTGACGTTCCCTTGCTGAGGAACTAACTCTAGACTCTTCCAACTTTCATTAAATTACTTGGACCTCTTCCCTTCAAAAATAATCTTCCCTCTTCTCCTTGTTTTCCCAAAAGCAAGTCACCACCTTGTGGGTAATACAGAGGCAGGACATTCTAATTGACACTGGTCACAATTCTGCGTCTTGGGGTCCCACAACTCTTTGGAGTCCCCGTTTGAGCCTTGCTTGAATCTCATTTTGACTGTACTGTAGCACGGGTATGTGTGGAACCTACAAAGATGCGAACATGCACTAAGGAGAAAACTGAATTTCATATAAAATCCCATTTCTGATACATGAAGGGTGTAACTATCATCTTCCTGGAACTCGTTAATTTGCATCAGTTTGTACATCAGACAAGACAGATGTCTGTGGTTAGGATGCAGTGGGCAGAATTCCCGGATTTCTTTTTAAGCACATGTGTCACAGTCCAATGCGTATGATACAAATACACAGGAGCAGAGCTGAAACATAAAGATACTTTGAAATCTAATTTTAGCAGATGAATCCCATTTTCTGCTTTACTAAGCCTTTTCACCAGAGTTACTGTAAAATATTTAAATGTTGTGATCTAAGGGTGTGAGTTTGCTGTATTTATTTGGGGCACATTCATTCTTTATCATAGTCAAGCAAAATGGCTGCCCAGTTCTCACGTTGGCATTCCACATCTAATTGCCTCCAGGTCCTGTCTGGCAAGCATCTGACGTACTGGTACCCAACAACTTTGAATCCAGTGTAGCATGAAATTTCAGCATCTTCCCCAACTGAGTACAGTTTCTTATTATTCTGGAATTAAAATGGAAACCAGCAAATTATTAGTGCTATGAATAACATTTCTAAACACCTCAGGGTCATCCTGGGTTATTTCTATTCCTTCACTCCTGTATCTACTCAGTCACAGAGTCCTCTCAATTTATACTTTTAAATATCTCTCAACGTTCTCTCCTTTCCTTTGCCATCATCTCTGCCTTTGTTCATTGCATTTACTATCTCTTACCAGGACAACTTTCTAACTGGTCCCTCTTCTAATCCATCTTCTATATTGCTGCTCTAAATTCATTGAGATATTTTCTTTTACTTACAAACTTGCTCCCCACTGTATATGGGATGGCTTACTATTTCAAGAATTTGGGGAAAAAAATCACCTATATGCTTATCCTATAGTGGCTACAAACTAAATAAATACTATAGCCTACATATGCAAACATAAGCAGTTGCTATGATGACTAATTGACTACAAATCATTTAAAAGTGTTACTCAATTCTTAGTAAGCCATTGGTCATTATACATTTTCCCAATTGTGGGTAATTAAAATACAACTACTATCGTGTATGTGTGGGGGAGGGAAGGGGTAAGTTTGTTCACTAAAATTTAAGATAAAATGGGTCTTACTTGGTTTGGAATGTTAGCTTTAACCCACTTTACCATCATCACCTCTTGCCGTTTCCTCCCATAAAACCTATGCTCCAGCGAAACAAAACATCTGCCATTCTTTGAACGTAACATTTATTCTCTTTCATGCCCCCACGTTTTTACCTGGCTCTTCCCTCTCTATCCTCAACATTTTCCCTCTTTCCTTCTCTCAAGACCCAATTCAAATAGAAATTCCTCTGTGAAAACCCCCTTTATTTCCCCAGCTTCAAGACATGCACCATCCTTTCAGTTCTGGGGCAAACTTGCACAAAACTCTAGCTTTATACTGTTTATCACTTTTATCAACCCTACCCCTGACACTTGAGTGGCACCTCCACGAACAGATCTCTGTCTCGCAAATCTTTATACAGGGCTTACAAAGGAATGCAAAACACGATCCTTCCTAGAGATGTGATACTTTTTTTCCTTACTGAGCAGGAGAAGAATACAAAGAATTGAGTAGGAAGTTATTCTCTGAGAACTGAATTTGGGAATGTTTTAGGGAGGTGAAAGCTTAATACTCATCTTTTGTTATTCCCTGGCCACATAATTCAACTTGTCTCCTAGAAGATTCTTAATTTCCTGAATACAAAAAGAATATTCTACTATTGGTTATTATGGGTGTGACTTTGTTTCTGAGAGGAATGTGGTGATGAATAATATTAATATCTAGATGTCTTATTCAAAGGCTGAACGTCTTGTTCGCATTCCTCCTTCAATAAGTCATTGCCTTAAGCCTCTGCTTCCATTTCTCATATGAAGCTATCACCTATATGTGTGTGTTGCAACCTTTGAACTTAGACCAAGATATCTGCTCTACTGACTAAACCAGAAAACCTTACCTAAAGTCATTGTCACTTGCCTACAGGGATAGGACTTGTGCCTTGGTCATTGAACAAATATCTCCGGGTGCAACGACATGATTGTTCTAGCCTGGAATTAGGCATACCTGCCTCTGTTTGATGCCATATGAGGCACATTTTGCTACTAGATATTTTAGAAGGTACTCATTAGGAAAATTAAAACTGTATTACTTTTGAGTAAAACTGTGTCAGATGGAGATTAGGCCTTTAATAAAGCGCAAACTAAAACAAAAAATGAGTTTATTTATGAAAATGGAAACATATAATCTAATTTTATAGAAGGAATCATAAAATTATGAGTCAATTGTTAAAAGGCTTTGTTTTTTTAAAATTAGAATGTTGATAATTTTAACAGTTTTTGCAAGCAGCTGACATAAATAGATTAAAAATTATTTAGGTATCAAAATCTAACACAATGTAATTTTGAGGATAATGTTCTAGGGCAGGGACTTGCAAGCTTGTCCTACAAAGGGCCTTAATAGTCAATCGCAGGCGATATGGTGTCTGCGGCAAACACTCACCTCTGCCATTGTCTCATGGAGCAGCCATAGGCATTCTATAAACACATGAGTGTGGTTATATTCCAATAAAACTTCATTAAAAAAAAAGAAAAGAAAACAGATGGCAGGCCAGATTTGGCTTGTGGGTCACAGTTTACTGATTTCTGTTTTAAAAATTGTTCCCAAAGTGTGGCCTCTGAACTAGCAGCACTGGTATTACCTGGGAACATATTAGATAAGGAAGTTTCAGGACCTCACCCAACACCTACTTAATCAGCAACTCTGGGAGTGAAACCCAGCAAGCCCTCTAGTGCTTCGGAAAATTTGAGAATCTCTGTTCTACAGTAAAGACAATTGATATTACCTCCCTCCAAAATATTTTCTCTCCTTAAGACCTGTAGATGTGGTACCTTGTACATGGACAGAAGGCAAATGAACAAGGAACAAATGAACAAGGAAGAAAATTAGCCCAGACTATGCTCCATGGATATTTATTTGCTGGTGTTGGAGAATCCAGTGTTATCTTTGATCATAAATATGATACAGTTGGAAAAAAGGTGAATTTAAAGGCTTTAGTGAGTTTAAGAAAGGTAAATTAAAAAAAAAGGCAAACTTGATTAGGGAGCATGTATTCTGTGACCAATTGTAAATGTTATATGTCTCCTGAAAGTTTATTTTTTTTTATTTACTTATTTATTTTTAGCTGAGCCATCCTGCCACCTGTTGGCAGCTCAGCAGCAGCTCATCTCAGGCCAGGAATTGAACCAGTGATCCTGTTGCTCAGAGCTCGCACTCTTGAGCGAGCTCTTAACCAACTGAGCTACTCGGCCAGCCTTGAAAATTTATATCTAAAGCCACAGACCTATCTGACAAAAAATATTCAATTGGGTTTTTTTTAATCATAGAAACATATGTGACTGAACAAAAATAAATAAAATTATTAATTTTATATTAATTATACTAAAATTGTATTGACTGCTTCAGGGTGCTATAGACTTCTAACCTAATAAGATATCACAAATGCAACACCTCCTATGATTATAGCCAAGACTAGTTTGTCTCTCTGATAACATGCTCAGATCCAGAATTAGTTTGCTCAGATGCAGAATTAAATTGTCAGACCTTAGCTGCAGATTCTTACAAGTCATCCAAACTTATATGATACACAAGTCCCATTTTCCATTCACATAAATGCACCTTTGGTATATGAATTAGTAGTGCCAAGGAACAGAGGGAAGCTTCTATCCTTTGGTATAAAGACATCTCCAGGGAATTTAAGATGAAAGAGTGGCAAAGCATTTCTCAATATTGCATCTTTACTTTTTAAGACAGCAGAAAGTTATTAAACTAGGAAAACAATAACTCCAAATAAAAAAAGGTGTATACTTTTTAAATTCTATTTTTTTGAACTCCAAACCTAAATTGAAGGTCAGGATGCTTACTCGGATAAACCCGTTTTCTGGAGGAACTGGCTGAGGACACCCTGAATCTGATTCTACGTCAGGAAGGTCTATTTCTTTCATTTCTTCATCATCGCTGATACATGGTTGTCCACTAAAAGGGAAAAAGAAATATGTGTATATATCATATATATATATATATATATATACACACACACACACACACACATATACTTACGTGTATATATATACATATATATGTATATATATATATGTACACAACATAAGTGCATATATTATATATATATATATATATATATATAAAAGAGAGAGAACATTAACCAAATAAGGGTAGCAGCAGATCCGATACCTTACTAGTGTATTGTGTTGGAATAGGTAAAATTCTATTTATTTCTTGACTTAGCAGTAGGATAATAAACGTCTTAACTCTGTTAGTGGGGTAACATGACCCATTCTTTCCCGTTACACATCCATACTTGTTCTCCATGATTGAAAATGTGCAGTGTTCCTCTTGCCGCTTCTCCCCCTCACAGGGTTTCCCTCCTAGTTGCGGGGCAGGGTTGTTGCATTCTCGGGTTCTTGATCTCTTATAAGTCACGTCGCACGTGCTCCAGGGTGACCAGCAGCCCCAGTTCCCATCGACTGCATCTGGAACACAGGCAGACCCAGCCACTGATCACGGTGCACCTGAGAGAATTTGGGCTTTGAAGCCAGACCAACTTGGTTTCTCCACTTTTTAGCTTTGTGGCCCTTTGTGGACTATCACAGGATTATTGTGAGGATTAAAAGAAATTAGGGCCTGGCACATTGCCTGGTTTCCCTTTCCTGTCACCACAGCCTGAATAAAATGACAACAATTATGAATTCTTTTCAACTATCTTCAACACATCACACACATAGGCATATGCATACATATATGTATAAATATGAACTTCTGAATAAAATATATATCAAATTACATGTTTAACGGTAATGGAATATATTCTCGCTCCCATAACACATCCCCTTTCTAAGGGGGATTAGAGATAACCATGAACATTACCTAGTCCTGTATGAAAACTTTGGTTGTGGCTTAATTTATCTCTATTACAAAGCCATCTTCTTTCTAAGTTACAATATATAAAAGGCTTATAACAGCAGTATCACATACTTTATTTTATAGTATTTTCTATTCTTTCATTTATTTTATATTACAGGCATTGTGCAGTGTATCCTTTATATATATAATGTTTTTTAAACATTTGGGTACATACTGACATTATCCCCATTTTATGGATGAACAGATTGAGGCAAAGAGAGGCTAGGTGACTTTTCTAAGGTCACATAGCTAGTAGGTGTCAGCAGAGATTCACACCAGGACTGTTTGACTTTAGAGTCCGTTTTACAGGCTTATTTTCCTCGTGAGTTTGCATCAGGTGGAAGATGCTAATACAAGTTTTGTGTTTTTGTTTTACTTGACCAACCTAGAATAACTTTTGGAAAGAGAAAAGGTGCCTGCCTCACCAGAAGTTACTGATACTTACTAGATTTGTAATCCGGGGAGCGTCTCTCACAGTTCTCACCGTAGGTGCCACTCTGGCACACACACAGACATTGGGTCCCTGAGAGGGTGGGGCGGCCATTATTAGGGCATGGAGCACACTGGCAAGGGTCAAACTTGGTTGCGTATTCTCGAAAGGCTTTCCTGAGGTTGTTCCGTCTTGTCACTGCACAGGGGATGTTTCTTACCAAGTCCGTGATGGGAGCAAGCTGAGAGCAGAGAGGAGGCCCAGTTACAGTCGCATCCCTTTGGCATATGTTGCCTTCAGTGACTAATTTTCATGGAATGAGAGGCAAACGTCCCACACTTCAAAAGGATTATTGCAGAACACAGTATATCTGCCTATTGAACCAGTAGAGAAAATGGGAGGACAAGGGAGTTTGTTTCTTGTCTATGGTGGGTAGAGCAGCTCTTGGCAAGATCAGTTGGCTTCTGCTGTCTCTAAAGTATGCCAGGTGTGCTGTAGCAGAGCTGACTTTCCTGGAATTCTGCTATGAAGTAAGTCTCCTGTGAGGTGTCACTGATGTAGACTTGCACCATGTTATTTATGAAGCAGCAGATGCATGCCTTGACATACTGAGATAGGTGAGCAAGAGTTTGGCAGCTCAGGAATGCTGTGCTGATGCCTCATTACATTTGAGTCAAGCAAAACAAACAAACAAACAAAAAACCCAGAGAAGGTGAAGAGAGGTGTTTTTGTGTTTTATGTTTTTCCAGGGACAATACTGGCTTTTGGTGAAACCAAAGGACAAAACGTAGTGCGGGAGAAAATGAAGAAATGAACTCACTGGTAGGAAGGATTACAGTAGCAAATAATGGGGCTAACACAAAACCAGGGCTCATGTAATTAGTATTATAAAACCCCAGAGGAATGGCTATCTAAATATTTAAAGCAGTGTATGATTTATAAATGACCAGATGAGCGGCTGGATCTTGTTTTTCTACCATAACCTGGAGAGTGCGATGTATCTTCACGCTGCGTGTCAATTACTCTACTTTCATAATGTTTGAACACCTTTGTCTTTATTTAAATGAAATGAGCAGAATTGCTCGTTAGGGGGCTTTTAAAAATTGGGTTATAACAGCTCCACCTGGAGCTGGGCTGCCATGATGGTGTAGGCTGCAGCCCCTGCTGCAGTGGGCTGCTGTAAGCTACCGTGTGTGGCCAGCAGCCAGCATGAGCTGCCGTGAGCCACTGTGAATGGCCGTCCAATGGCTGGTAACCTACTGCCTCACCCAAGAAGAGCACAATGATCATAATACCAACATAGACCAGTGAAGCGGTGTCCTCCACAACTAGACTGAAGAACAAAGGGACAGCAACTTGTCTGTTCCCCTTCCCTGATTCCCCAAAGCTGTTCCCCTCCCCCAATTCCCCAATAAAAATCTTAAAAAAAAATGTGGTTATGTTTTAGGCAAAACTGGCTGTAAATGGCATATGACTGACATGTGGGCAAAGTACTCCATCAATAATAAAAATCACCTTTTTATGTAATTACAACAAATATGAGACTGGTAAACTTAAAGGTGATAGAAACCCAGAACCAAATAGATCTAAAATCCCATTTATTTCATAGAGCTATAAATGAAGATTTAGGAGTGTTCATCAAGTAAAAAATTGCAAAAAAAATTACAGAAATCAAATTTATTGTATATATAGGGAGATTAAAAACACTAGTCAAGGCAAGTGTGAGCAGCTCTAGTCACCGAATTTTCTTTCCTGATATTTTACATGTGCTAGGAATTCTAAATACTAACCTAGAGAATGCTTGTTTGAATAGCAAAAGCAATAGATGTGTAATTTAACATTTTTAAAAAAGGTCCATTGTGCATGCACAGTGGAGAAAGACATTTTCTTTATCATCTGAGAGGAAAATGGAAAAGGAATTGCGTGACAGTTCTGTTGGGCTGCTAGAGAACTACTTTAGCTCTCTTACTCATAATACTTTTTAATCTTACCTCAAAGTCAATCACAGCAGGATTATCCTTCAGTGATTCTACCCATTCAGAAAAGGCCTTCTCTTCTGGACCAGTGGTCCCTTTCTCCCATGCCAAAGCAGCTGCATACTCACTTCTCCCACCTTTCACAAAGGAGATGGATTTCTCTGCTCCCTGCAAAAATGAACCTGCAAAATGTTTCAAGAAAATTACTCATTTGTATGGTGTCAGATGGCGGCTGGAATTATCCTGGTGATCACTTCTTTAGGTATATAAATGTTCAATAATTATGGTGCACACCTAAAAGCTAACATACAATATACTACTGTATGTTAGCTATATTTTAATAAAAAATTTTAAAACAAAAAGAAAAGTATTCATTTAATTTTATTGCAAATTCAACCTTTCAAGAAAAAGCTGTTTGCATAGGAGGGACAAGTAGATGGAACAGTCCTGTAGCTCCATTAAGTGAGCTAAGTGCAAAGCAAGAGAACACTAGGCCTCATCCCTACAGGGAGTTTAATAATAGAAATGGTAATAACAGTGTGAACAGCTGACATTTATTAAGCAGCTTGTATATGCCAGGCATTTTGCACACATTATCTTGTGTGATTCTCACAACAATCCTGAGAAGCAGGTATTCTGATAAACATGGTCATTAAAGCTAGAAGTATCCTGGCCTGGAACACATAGTTACTAAGGTGGGGGTGGGGGGCTGGGATGCAAATGCACCTCAAGTGCTACTCTGCTCCCTGTTCTCTGATGTGCCAAACCCCCACTTTTGATATATATCATATGTTTTGGACCCCCGGGATGATATAAACCACATGGCTTCTGGTTGACTGCCATGATGGACACTTGCAATCACAGAAAAAAGCTTACAGAATGCTTTTAAACTTAAAGACAGGAGTAAAAAAAACACAGTTAACCAAAGGGGGGAAAAGATAAACCTCAAGTTAAGGGTTGGCAATGGAATTGTAACAGCTATATAGGATGTCAGAGGGGTAATAGGTTGGGAGAGGGGGTTATCACTTTGTGAGGGGTGAAATGTCTAACTGTTACATTGTTTGTACACCTGAAACTAATTGAAAAAAGAAAAAAAGAGTTGATAGAATGTTTCTTTAATATACACAGCACAGAGTTTTATACAAATTTTCAAAGTAATCCCTCTTAACTAATGGTGTCTTTAACTAATATGAATAGAATCTGAGTAATAGGAAATCATAGTAAGAAATAAAACCAAATGAAAAGGAGGATGGTGGTATGAGTAATAATTAATACCATTAATTTGATGTCTATTCTTCAGTGCCAGTAAGGATTAGCCACGCCCCTACTGTAAGGTAGTTTAGAATGATTAGAACAATGGGTAAAATTCTCTCCCTATGAAGAGCAGTACAATCCTTTTCAAAGCGAGGCTCATAAAATAATACAGAGGGGTATAAGAAGAAAATTTTAGAGGTTTTTGTGTTTATTTTTTATATAAAAATAGGAGAGAAATTAGTATTTGCCAATCTATCATATACCAATGGACAGTGACAAAATATAGTTGTCTGAAAATAAAATCAATAAAGTTAATTACATACAGGGAATATTTAAGGAAATTCATAATGAATGCAGAGAAAAAATTCAGACAGATATTAACAATTATTGAATAAAATCTAATAGAAATGGAATGACAAATATAATTTAATATATGGGAATTAATGTCACTGAAATATGGCAATTATATTTTGTCCTTGAACTGTCTAATTTATTTATAACTATAATGGCGATATTTTTCAATGTTTGTTTGTCTTTGTACCTTAGCTTTGAAATCTTCCTTTTCACTTATTTCTTACATTTAATCTTTTTTTCTCTGAGCTTTTCATTTATTGAACTCACATTCTTATTAAATTATTCTATTACATGAAAAACTGGTATAAAAGCTGTACCCATTCTTTGGTTGATATTACTAGGTTATTTGTTTGTTTTGCATGCTGTTCTATTTTTCCCTCTTTTTTCTATAATATGAATGCATAGTTGTCAAACCAGTTCTCATTTTGCTTGTGCTTAACACAGGCATCTGCATGTAGGCTATCTATATACTTTGATATAGTTTAAATGATATATTTATTGTTATAGTAAATATTATATTTCTATTTGTTCCTTGCCTGTCTCCCCATGAGAGTATAAGCTTCATATTGTGGAAGTTTCTGTGATTTTGCTTCTTTGTTCTGAGCAGAATGAGTAGCAATCAGTCAGGTGAAGTAAGGGAATAAGAGAATTTTACCCAGAGGAAGAGTTATTTATAATGGCAAGGCACAGGATAGAGCATGACTTATGTCAGGGGACTACGTATAGTTTAGCTAGGTAGACAGAGGCAGAAACTTCTCTTTAAGGCTTTGTGAAACCATCACTCATTTAAGGCAAGATTGTTTCATTATAAGATTTGCCTTGGATAAGACTCCTCTCACGGAAAACGTGTAGAATAGATTGGAAGAAGGCAACACTACAGGTCAGGGGCCAGTTAGAAGGCTTCTGTGGTAACCTAAGTTGGAAATAATGAACAGAGGTCATGCCCATGGAAATGAAGAGATGGGAACAAGTGGAAGAAATATTAAGGTGGTAGAGTGATTACGTATTGGATGTGGAGGCTAGAGAGAGGAAGAAATCAAAGATAACACTCAGATATCTGGCTTGGTTGCTTGTGCCTTATTTACACAACTCTCTTAGACCCTTATCAGTCTGTATTTTGAATGGCTGTTTATACATATCAGTACTTTGTAAGCTCCTTGATAGGAAGGCTTGGTTTACACCCATCTTTACATCAGAGTGCCTAATATTTAGTTTAGCCCATGGGAAGGATCAATAAACGTTAATTAAAAGTAAACAACCTAAGAATAAGATAAAGAAAACCTTAACCATTTCCCCTTTTAACTAGTGCTAATGATATTTTATTTGCACTCTTCCCCCACCACACACAGGGCTCTCAGTTAGATAAATGACATAAATGAAAAGTTAAAAAAAACACCGTCATGTGCAGTATGGTACTTAAATTACTGTCAGCCTCAGGACACACTGCGTAAGCTGCTAAGAGAGAGGACTGTTACCTTCATATTTCTCTGACATCTTGTTAGTGGTGCACCGTTCTTCCACTTTTGTTTTTTTAATGAAACCAAAGTAGCGTTTCTTTGTTACGATCCGAACACAATTTTTCATTTCTTCCTCTGTTAAACCTAGGAAGTACAGCACAGTCAAAAACCCCTGAGAATGCACCCTTGAGAATTCAGAGAAGAGGATCATGAGTCTCTAGGCCCTTTGAGAATTACCGATACATTGTACCAACCACCACCTTTTCTAATTTCCGTTAAGTGTGAACGAACGACAGCTCTTCCTTACAGACTCAAGTCCTTCACAGACCCTGACACAATCCTGAACAGAAGAGGTATTTATGACTCCCCACCATCTCTCCCTTCAACACTGGCCCTAAGAAGCACACCTGGGGTCATTGTGGCTCATCCAAGGGGATCACCTTGGCTTCTCCCTGTTGCTTATACATAAGGAACCTCTAAGTTTGCCCGTCCTACTGGCCACTGCCACTGTACAGCCCTGAAAATCAAGAATGAACACATGTCCTACTTTTGGTGCCCCACTGTTAGATCTCCTTTCTGGGCCACAGGTGATTCGATGAGACTTTTTTCCCCTGTGAGTCTTTTGGTCACCTCTCCTTCCGTGAACACTCGTTCTCACACTTGTTTATGCTTCCTCTCCCTGGCTCGGCTGCTCACGCCACCTCTATCTCCAAAGCCCTTTTATTCTGCTCTCAGAAATTCCGACTTCTGACTTATGAATTCCTCTCTTCAGCATCCTCGTTGACTGTTCTCTTGCTCTCCTCATCTTAATTCAAGCTTGTACTTGATATGTTTCCCATTGTCTCTAAAGGGAGGTCGGTACTGCCTCATTCCCAGCCCCTTCGTGTGGGAGCTGGGGTTGGTAATATCTTCCTAGTCTTTCAGTGCTGCTTCCATAGGGTGCCTCTCCAAAGTTTTATATGTTTTGGAAAAACCCTAATGCTCTGAGGCTCAGACCACCCAGTTTAGTCCTCATTGTTCTTGTCTTTTACCAAACTTCCAAGCATCATTTGTTCATGATTTTGTCATCTGAATCATTCTTTCCCACCACAATGCTTGCCATTATTCTCAATGATGTCAAAATCTATGTGGATGTCAGGGACTGAGTGGGACACAGCGCAGGGAAACAGGTCTGGATGTTTGTAGGCTGAGTTGGTGCTGCCTATCTAGGGGTAATTCAAGGACAATCGATGTTTCCTTTTTTTTTTTTTAACTGCTTCCCAAGCCATCTGATCTGCTTGCTACCTGAAACATCAAAATTAGAATCCAGTTTTTTTTTATGTTTACTTAAAAATTGCCTTGCCAAACACAAGCACATAAGAGTAAAGCTGTTAATATCAGCTCTTAAGCACCTTAAAGCAAAGTAGTTGATTAAATGCTGCTATTTGGGGTTGCAGGTTACGATAAGCAGGGAAGACTGTGCTTAGAGCTTGAGGCACAGTTTGGAGTGATGCTGAAACTGAAATCGAAAGGTAGAGCTCACAGAGAAATGAGGCTGAATAGATGGGGATGGGTCTGCCCACTTCACAGTTTTCTCAATAGTTTTCGCAATAGTTTGACACATTTGAAGAGATGCATTATAAATTGGGAGTACAAAATTCTCAGTTTGAATTTCTCATGTTTACCTTATATCTTTAACTTAAAAATGGCTATTTTGATCAGGTTGAATAAGTATGAGCTATTTTTCTCCTGGTAGTATTGTTCCTAAAAGTGGGTCAGTCAAACATTGAGGCCATGTTAGGAATTTAATGTAGCTATAGCACATAACTCCCATCTTTTCTTATTCCTTCATTAGGTTTTTATACTTTATAAGTGAAAATTAAATGTTATGTGTCCAATTCCCTAATTATAACATAATTAATTAACCATAAGCTTAGTTAATTTCATTTCCTGAGGGTTAGAGGAAAATCCTTGAAGATTTGAATGAATAACCCCTCTTATGAGCCATGGTGTTACCCATGCAGTGATTAAAATATCAAGGCTTTATCAGTGAATTTCTGCATAAGCCTTTCTTTCCCCTCAGTGTGTCCTATATCTTGATGCCTGACGTCTATCCACATTGACAAAGACTTGCTTGATGCTACAGGACTGGGCCCCTCAAAACTGAGTGTCCCTTTGATGTGGCACAAGGTTGAGGATTTTAGAAATGTCCTCAGCTACTCTGACTGGACAAAGGTCAATAGCATTAGTCAAAACTGTCATACCAATAAATAGTGGGGCAATTAATTTTTCTCCTCAAATTCAAGCAGAAAATTTAAACTCCTTCAACAAAAGGAGTTTAAAATTACCATCTGACATATTATGATATTTTAATTGTTTAATGCTTTCACTGTATTCCTGAAATTCTTTTCCCTTTGTACAATGAAGCAATGTCAACTTATATTCAAGGTTTTAAATTGACTATTGGACACTGAACAATAGAGGAATAAATCAAGGGATGCAAATAAAAAGCAATTTAATTTTGTTTATTCTTCTTGAGGGAGACAAAGTACTATGAAATATTCAAGTCATTTTTGTTTGAAATTTATGACAGGGGACATGATTCAAATTGAATAAAGCAAACAAAAACTAAACTTATACTCTAGTTCCATGTCATGGCCAAGTAAAGGAAAAAAGAACAGAAAGAGAGACAAGGGAGCAGGCCAGAATATATAATCATCTAGAGCAGTGGTTCTCAACCTGTGGGTTGCGAACCCTTTGGGGGTCGAACAACCCTTTCACAGGGGTCGCCTAAGACCATCGGAAAACAAAAAGGTATTTACATTATGATTCATAACAGTAGCAAAATTACAGTTATAGAGTAGCAACGAAAATAATTTTATGGTTGGGGGTCACCACAACATGAGGAACTGTATTAAGGGGTCATGGCATTAGGAAGGTTGAGAACCACTGATCTAGAGAGTGGGCCAAAATAGGTAAGCGTCCATTTCATTGAGATTTGTATCTGTCTCAGTGTGCTTCATCTTAACCACAATTAAATTGTGCACCAATATTATTATTGTGACTCAAAGAAATACATACACACACACACATTCATTGAACATAAAAATATATATTACATGTAAGAATATTACATATAAGGATATATGTTTTATTGACTATATTGAATATATATTGGGTTGTCAGAAAAGTCATGATGTATTTTTTCTGTTTTTCGTTGCAAAAATGCATCTGACTTTTCTGACAACCCAATATATACACACACATTATAAATATTTTATATATATAGTATGTGTATATATATGTATAGTTATTTCCAGTTTCCTATCACATCTCAAACTCCCTTTCTTTCCCTTATTATGTATATCTTATTGTCAGTTTCTTTCTCCATTTATAGAGAAAGAGATGGAAGGTGAGAATGTTTCAGTAGGGAAGTATAGCATCTTTCATCATTTGGTTATGGGGCTTCAACTATTAAAATGCTTGATGGTTGATTAAAGATTCACATCATTCTTTAACTGACCTGATTTCTAAGCCTTCAGAAGCTTTGCTCTGAATGCATGATGACTATAGCTCATCAAGTGGAGAAATTACTCTCTGGGTTACAGCAGCAATGACCAGAATAATTTTATTCCAAGGATGAGATAAAACCAACTCAAAAGCCAGAGGTTTCCCCCAACCATTTTTGCTCAGCATTAATGTTGATGCTATTTTCAGTGGCAGAAGACATCAAATTTATCATGCAAACATTGCTCCCATGGAAAGGATAACTGAAATGAACATCAAGGTTAGGCAGTGTGGAAAGTTCATCACAGCATAAATCTTTTCAATTTTAGTAACTCAGTCAGGTGAAATTTTTTTAAGACCAGCTTACCGAAAGTCCTTCTCAAAGACATGTATCCTACCTTCTCTCTCAGGAAGCAGATCATGAGGGCTATCTGGTCATTTAAGGTTTGGAAGGACTGAGGGCAGTCACATTAAACCTTAGTATTTGCCATATGAGATGTAAGAACAGAGGGATCGACCCTCTATTGACCCCAGAGTTGGCCTGGTGTTGCTTGTTTTTGAAAATAAATTCTTGGTTTCTTTTTCGTAAAAGTTACGTGATCAAGAATTATGATTTTTAGGGCCGGCCGAGTGGCTCAGTTGGTTAAGAGCTCACTCAAGAGTTTGAGCTCTAAGCAACAGCGATTCGAGTCCAGCCCGAGCTGAGCAGCCGCTGAGCTGCCAACAGGTAGCAGGATGGCTCAGCTAAAAAAAAAAAAAAAAGAATTATGATTTTTATGGCAAATCGGCCAGTTGAGTTCTGGTTACCATTCTGTTTCCTAACCATGTTCTCAAGAGACACAAGATAGAATCATCACAAGGACCCTGTGTCACTTCATACAGGAGTCTGAAAACAAATTACTCCAAAGGTACTTAAGCTGTCACAATAATTAATATTGGCAATTTATGGTAACACTTAAGAAACCAAGATTTGTTTATAAACTAAGGTTTATATTATTATTTTATATGTAGGCAGGAAAACATCACTGATTCTATACCAAGCTATAAAGTTGTAACCTTTCCTCAAATGAAAGTGCTTCTCTGGTTTTAAGTTTTATCACCAGTAGGTGCATATCTGGCCCTCATTAACTAAGTCCCTTGTCAAGTCCTTATTTTTTCCTTCATCTTACACCCCTGGCTTTGAGCTAAAAATCATTACAAGGCCTGCTAGTGACTTTTCTATATTGTTCCATAACATTATTATTACTTACAAAAATGCTATAAGTAAATTATCTTTTAGAATTTAATTCTAGGACACATTTTGTTTTCCTTAAGGTAATGGCATGCATCTCTCTTTTCTGGATGACCACTACTGTGTCGCTTATGATGTTCCTAAACGTCAGGAAATTCAGGGACAAATCTGATGCCCCATCAAAGAGGTTAAACCTATTTATTTTTCCTTCTTTTTTGGTCCTTGTTTTCTATTTTTGTTTTATTTACTTGAGTGTATGCTTTTTGGTTTTTCTTCATAATGATTTTAGAAATAAAGCAAGGTCTAAATAAAGTTAATAAAAAAAATTTAAAACAATAGAGGAAGAGTAAAATACATTACTTGTTATTAGGTCAGTTTAGAAAAAACTGAGGGCAGAAGAAAGCATACCTGAGTTCTTTAGTTCCTCATTGCTAAACTGGTAGAGGAGGTCATACACGCCTCCCAAGGACCCAGAGGTAAAATAGTGGGTCCCAAAATCATCAAATATCCGGCTATAGAGAGCATAGTTGTATTCTAGAGGCAGATGATTAAGTGATTTCAAAAAGACATCAGAAAGCTGCAGATCTTTACTTTTCATGGTGAAGTTTAAGACTTTCATCACTTTATGGATCCTAATAAAACTAGAATCCTAAATAGAAGAGGAGAAAGACATAAAAAGAAAAGATGGTTAAAGGTAGTGAAAGCTTGAAGTATCAAGCACTTAAACGTCATCTATTTATCATTAGCTTCATTCCAATCTAGCATTACAACAGTTTTAACTCTCCATTGCATATCCTCACATACAGAATTATAATTTTCATTTCATTTTCCAGTACATTTTCCTGAGATGTTCAAAGTGTTAAACAGATAAGGTTATCTGAATAATGTGAACTGTGTGACTAAGGCATATGTTCTTTACCAAGAAGAGATCAATTATCAGAAAAGTAAATCTTTTTCTTTTGATTGTCAATCAGGCTGCATCCCTACTGAGTTTTTATTTAGAAAGCCTTGCTAATGCAAATAACTGGCAAAAGGACTGTGCAAATTTTCAACTGTAAGTTATGCAACGAAGTTTCATCATACCTTTGTCACTAACTGGGAAAAAGCGTTTAAATTCTCTAGGCCTCAGTTATCTGTGAAACGTCACCTGGTACACAGATGGGGGCTGTGTACCAGGTAACACTTCACGCCTCTTTCAACATAGCATCAAATAAAATGCTATGATTCGAAATTACTTTGGGAGTAAAATTAACCAAAATTATTTATATTCCCTCTCCCCCACCCCTAAGCAAAAATATTTGTTCAAAAAAATTTTTTTTAATTGTTTCTTGTTATGTCAGGTTATTTTAGGATTAGATAGTTGGTATTATGCTCCAAATCTCATTCAATTAAATTTTCTTTCTACATAGCCACTGAGCTTTATAAATGTATCCATGTAACTGCTCTTTTAAAAAAAATTAATATACTTTATCTGATCTCTCAATTTTAGCAAATGGTATTGTTTGAGTAATAGAAACAGAGAGAGAAACATATTTTAGCAAGATAACTTTATTGTAGCTATAAATTAGTAAATGGCTATCATCTTGTATGCTATAATTATGGAGCAAAATGACTACTAACACAAAAGAAAAACAATAAGCACAAAGATTGAAAAAGAGTCATCATTCACCCCACTTCCCTCTCTCTTTCCTTTCTCATTTCATCCCTCCTTCCCTCCCTCCTTCCTTCCTACCTTCTTGCCTTCAATACATTTAATGCTGGACTATCTCAGGTGCTGTGGACACAGAAGTGAACAACGCAGAGTTCATATCTTTGTGGAGTTTACATTTTAAGTGTCTGTTAATTCTATTTTTAAGTTCACTACTTGAATTTTGTCACAGAACCATGGCTTGTGAAAGTTGGAGGGGAACTGTGCTTTTAATAAGAAGTGTAATCACTTCCTGAGTATCTGAAATGCCAGTTCAGATATGGGTGTTGAAATCGGTAGCTCAAAATTTCCAGGTTGCTTTCAAAACTAAACAGTGGAAAGCACAGTGAAAATTTTGGTAATTCATCTTAGTGCAAGCACCTTCGTGGTGCTCCATGGGTCAGTGCATGATGGCTGTAATTGGCTATTTTACACTAAAAAAAATATGTGACAGTAGTTTGTTAACCATGTATGATCTATTTCAATATTCTGTGAGATTTTTCTTTAATTTAGCCATCTTTTTGTGTGTTTGATTTTATAAAGTAAATCAGAAAAGCACTGAATCTTATTGAGAAAACTGGTATTTTGACTTTTAAACAAACTATATGCCCAATAAATATGTTTAGTCGGATCTGTGATTGACAAAATTAATAAATAAAGCATTAAGCTCCATTGATGGGCTTGGATTGATTTTCAAGTTTGTGGTATTTTGTTTTTAATATTTGAAGACTAAGAGAGGTTGCAGTAGTAATTTCTATTTCGATTGAGATTTCTTTATTCTGTTCAGATTTAATCAAAGACAATAGTCATGGTATTGGGTTGAACCATATGAAGTTGACGATTTTGTAAGTCAAAAATGGTTGAATGTCAGAAATTTTACATGTTTCAATCTGATACTGTGAATAGCCTTAAATGTTTCCACTTTATAGCAAACCACTAGAGGATCAAAAACAGTTGTTTATCTACAGATAAATGTTCTACAAGTGTTCTCTAGCATGTTTGAAATGGTTATAAACCAAATTTGTACAGCAAATATTCATGTCATGACTGATTATGTATATATATATATATATATATATATATATATATATATATATATATATATATATATATATATAAACTGGGGGTGCCAAAAAATGTACACACATTTTTAAGAAAGGAAAAACTATTAAGTTTGTAATACTCAATATATACCGATAACAAAAGATGAATACAAGTCACATTTGACTTCTGCAATTACAAGAGATACTCAAAGTAGTTACCATTAGCGTCCAGATACTTCTGATACAACAAACTACTGCTTGAGCAATGTTGACCAAAGTGTCCACTTGTATACACTTTTTTTGGCACCCTCAGTATATATATAATGTTTGTGCATGTGCGTGTGTGTGCACGTGTGTGCATGTATACGCACACACACACGCACACACACACACACACACACGCACACACATATTTGTGATCCTGGATATCAGAGTTAGCTGGGAGACTTGAAAAAAAGAAACCAGAATCACATGCCCAACCTTAGATATTCTGAATCAGTACATTAAGGGAAGGACCTGGGTGCAGTGGTAGTAGTGATGTATGCTTACTTCCTAGTAATTCTGATACTAGCTTGTCTCAAGAATATAATTTAGTAAGTTCAAGGGACACTCACTAAATGAACCATAGCCCATTCAAACTGAACTAGCAATCTATGTTATAAAAGGAATCTATTTTATTCTCATTTTTTCATATGTTCATACCATCATAGCTGTACTCTTTTCACAGTTTGTTGAAATTATAAAGAAGTGAATGAATGAATAAGCAAGTAGCTTGAAGTGTAATGTAGTAGATAAGAATAGTGGACAAAAATCATACAAACTGATTTCAATTCCCAACTTTAGCATTTACTCGCTGTAACATCACAGGGAGCCTCTTAGCTTCTTGGACTTTAGTGTGTGCCTGACACATTAGATATTTGATAAATATGTGTCAAATTAAAAATAAATATATGGACTTTAATTTAATGTGTGCAAAATGGTATTAAAAATATCTATCTGTTTACTTCTTAGGGTTGTTTTGAAGATAAATGCTTAAGAAATTTATCTACAAAGTGCTATAAGGTCTCATATTTATATAAGTATATTAATGAATGGATGAATAAAAATATGAAGGGCACTAGAGTAAAGGCAGGAGGAGCTATAAAACGGTGCCTTCCCACTGTTGGTCCCACTGGTTCCAGCATTGGTACCTCTCTCTATTCTTTCCACCTCCCCTCTCATATTCTGTGATTAAGGGCTCAGTCTCCCCATTCATCTATTTGGAAAAAACAAACACTTCTTAGAGTGGTGCATGTGGTGAGGAGCAGATACCATTTTAAAAGATACTCGTAAATGTCTAAAAATGCCTAATGAAAAATCTATCCCATAAATCATTTAAGAGTTGGAAGACATATCCAGGAGATTTAACATGCAAATAACAGGAGAAAAAGGAACAGATGAAGAATGATTCATGGATAAAGATGAATCTTCACATATTAAAGGAGTTCCATAAGTTCCTGACAAGATTAATGAGAACAGTCTAACACTTAGACAGAACCTAAATGTTAAGCATAAAAAAATTGTAAATTTCCAGACAAAACAAAAGAAAGAAAATCAGCTGTCCATGTAATTTTTCCTCTTCAACAACAGAAATTAGGAAACAGTGAAACATAACATCTACTAACCATCAATAGAAGACTATGATCCAAGATTTCATATCTAACCAAGATATTCTTTATCTTTATTGCCCAGGGAAAATGTAGGCATTTTTAGATATACTATGAGGATTTAGGGAATATATCTTGCATGTATCCTACCTGAGGAAAATACTAAAAATATGACAATTTAATGAGAACAAGGATCTCAAGAAAGGAAAGATGAGAGGGGAGGAAATGGTGATGAGTAAATGGAAAAAAATGTATGTACACACATATACTCGTACATACAAATACATATGTAAAATATTACACAAATATAAAATATTGAAAAAGTTGGAATTTATAAGTGTTATTTGAGGAATTTTAAATAGAGAAGACAAGAGTCAGAATAAAATACAAATGAACATATATAATAGAAAGGCAAATACAAAACAATCTTTATGGAGCACAAAGGTTTTGAACTATCTCAACAAAACAGGTTTTGGAGGTCTGTGATGATAGTGGTGGGGAAGTGGAGAGCTAATGTTCTCTCAAGGAGATAGTGAAAATGGGGTGTAGGGAATAGGTAAGTAAAACATCTTTTGTGAAGCTGTAGACATTACTTACTGGGATAAGAGAAAAACATAGATATAATTATGCTTTATAACTAGAGAAAGGTAGCTATAAACAGAATTTTAAAGCTTAGTAAAACTTCCAAAATGACCAAAAGAATACAAGGGGTAGACAGAAATATGACAAAGGTGGCAAAAGTAAAGAAATAGGAAACGGCAACCAAGTGAAATGACCAAGAAAAATTTAAGATGGGAGAAAAATGATCAAGTATTTCAGTGAGTATACTCAATCTAGGTAGGCTGAATTTTCCTAGCAAAGGCCTGAGACTGTCTGATTACATTAAAAAAGCAAAATTCTGTTATATGTGGTTTATAAGAAATACATACACCTCAAGCAGTAAGACAAAGAAAATAACCATAAACGCAGCCAAATGGATGCAAAAAGGAAGCATCATTGTATCATCTAAAATTTTTCAAATGGGATAAAACAACAAAAATACTAAAGGTATTTAAGTATGAGTTAGAAAGCCTTCTGATTTGATATTAAAACTCCCTCCTTCTTGTTGCATGATTGCTGGAATTGGTATTAATTTTCGGGAAAGAATAAAAAAATCAGAAACCATTTTTATTACCTTTTTGTGGGAGGCTTGAATGGCTTGTTTGAAGGCAGAATTATGGTTGGAAGTTTGGCTTTTCGATGAGGAATAAAAAATTGGCACACGAAAATGGCTCTCCTGTTGGCCGTCACCAAAGTCTTGATTATTTTTATTCTGTCCAAGAAGAGTTAAATCCTTATAGAAATCTGTTTCCAAATCATCTTCTTTAGTTTCCACCTGGAGAAAAATCCATATGAAATAAAACAGAATTTAGGAAATACCGGAGGTACTTGTGAAGATCTAATACAACAATCATTTATTTATGAATTCAATAAATGTTTATTGAAGATCCATTTTGCTACTGAACAAGGGATAATGTTAGTTCCTGCCCTCAGGGAGTCAATAATTTAGTTAGAAAGAAAGACAATCACAGATATTTTGGATATGTGAAATGTTGTGCTGCCGATGGGATTACCATAAATAACTCTAAAACCCAGAGCGACAATACCAGGAAAGTCTACCTCAAGAAAATGTCTCCTAAGCTGAGACTTAATGGGGTAATAAGCAACGGGGACTATTTTCAGTGTGCCTGTGAATTTGATGCCGTTTTCAATCTAATTTAAGATACCTTTCAGAAAATTAAGGCCTAAACAAGGGGAGGGCAGGTCTTGTCTGATCCTGCTCTGAAACCATCCCCATCTCTTTAGTCTTATTCAATGTTGGGCATCAGCACTCTACTGGCTATGTCTGCAATGCAGAAAACACATAATCAATTGGTTTTGCCTGGTGGGTAGTTATCAGTCTTCACTGACTTGGTCTGGGAAGAAGTGAAAAAGCCCGTGGGACTTGATTTGAGCTTAGTGGAGCTGGATTTAAGTACAAGTTAAATCTTTGTTATGGTTATACTGGTAAGAGAACAATGGATAATTTTTTTTTTAAAGTTGCAAAGCAAATTGAAGAGTAGTACTTCTTTATGTTAAAGATGTTTGTTTTATTTACAATGGAAAAACCTTTTCTTGTTTTGAAATATTCAGTATTAAAATACACTGCAAAGCAAACCACATGTCACAATTTAATAGCTTGCACAATTAGTCAAGCAAACACAAAATAACCCAGCTGCAAAAGTCTTGTTCAACAGTAAAATACAGAAGTTTAGGGTTACTTTTAGATATTGCTTTGCACGCTAGTTAGTGTTTAAAATGTCTATGAATAAGTTAACAATGAAACAATCCAATTATATTTAAATATAGTTTCTGACATTTCTTTATCATTTCTCTAAAAAACCCAGACTACAAAAATATTTTGTTTTGTGAATTAGCTTTCACACAAGAAGAGATGTGTTGGCTTAAAGGAAAAGATATTAACATTTATGAATGGGAGTCTGGGTATCCTGGGCAGAAGCTCAGAGAAAATCTAATCATACAGTTAGCTTGGTGGGAGGGCAGGTTTACAGGTGAGTGGGTGCTAAAAATTAGACTGAGCTGGGAAACTGGGCCCAGGCCTTGTAGGCCCTGATGAAATATTTGGGTTGAGCTCTAAAGGCAAGTTTTTGTATATAATATGTTCTTTAAAAATATTAATTGAATGAAGGAAAAATTGGGAGTGTTACCATCACATTTGTGTTTTGCAAAGATCACATGAACTATAGTTAACTAAAGTAAAGGCAAAGATAGGGGTTTAAAAAAACTGTTGTAATAAGCCAAGGGGGACAGGATAATGGGCAGGTCTATGGGAGTAGTGGTTGGGTAGAGAGAAGCTGGTGGGTTTGAAAGATATTTAGGAGGTAAGTCAACAGAAGTTGTTTACCAAGTACAATAGATGGTGGTGGGTGGTTGGTGGAGGAGGGGATGGGAGATGGGGGTTGAGGGAGAGAGAGAAGGAATGGGAATTCTGTTTCGTGAAAGGGAATATAGAGTATAGAAAGCCAAGGCAACTTTTGCAAGGAGGAAGATGAGTTCTTTTCTTTTACTGGTGTGTAAGGAATAGCTGGCAGGCTCTGATAAACTTCATTTGCCTAGATTTTCCCAGGAAGAGATGTTAACCAAATTCTGGGGAAAAGGTTTTAGTCTCCATTGGTTTCTCCCTGAGTCCATCCTAACTATCTGTGGATCTTATGGGTTGATGACCTGCTGGCGCTCCATCTGCACTCACACTTTTACTTTTGTGTTTGAAGAAAGGAGATGAGTTTGTAGGGAGAGGCAGAAGAGATTTAAGAGAGACTTGGGGAATGGAGGGGACAGGTTTCCTGTGGTGTGAGGGTTAGAAACAGAGCCCGGAAGTTGTGAATTTTACAAGGGATTTAGGAAGGATCTGAAGGATTGCAGAGCTGTGAAGCTTTTCAGGCTTTGGAGTGCAGCAAGAGGCTATGTCTAGGTAGGCCGGTATACTGGAAGAATCAAGGTGTAGTGGTAACCTTGCTCTTCAGTCTACTGATGACAGCAAATGCTTAGCATGCGGCCAGTAGCAAAAGCAGCGACAACAAGGAAAAGAGAGGATTCCTGATTGATTCAACTCTGGGACTGGTGCAGGGATTTTACAGGGACTGAGCTCTGCATTCAGCAGCTGGGGTATCGCTGAGGGGAAGAATTCTTCCTACGGGTTCCCATTCTGACTTCCTGTTCAATGCCTTCCCTTCCCTTCCCTTTTTTAAAAGCCTGTCTACAACCAGCCCATTATTTTGTCTGTCTTAATAAACTCCAGTAATATAAGAGAAGGGAAGTCATTTGCCTGCTGAATTTCTCCTCCTCTATTATTTTCAATAGCTTAGGTATAGCTTAGACTTGCACAGCTGCCTGCTAAAGGCAGGAACAAAGTAATATAGGAATCAGTGAAAAGGAACCCAATCACTTGTGACCTTGGATCTGGTTATTCCCAGATCTTTGTTTGAAGAAATGAGTTATCACCATCACTTTTCATAGCAGTTGAATATTATCTAGAGCTTAATGGCGTACAGTTAGCAATCAGCTCAGGCAGCTTCTTAAGCTTGGACAAAGTTTTAGAGCTACACTGATGATAGAATGAGTCTAATTTATTCTGAATGAGGATTTTCAGGCTGTGTTTCCCGATTAACTTGCCATCTAGGCTTGGGTTACCAAGTTGTGCCCGTGGATCCAGCGGAATGCTGGTAAATATTTAACAACCAGCTCTCTGGGAGGGGAAAACAAAAACGTGACTTACTACAGCATTTGCCTTTTCTCATGGTGTATATATTCCTTCCATAGCTGATTTCAACCTACCTATATGGTGCCTCTGAGTTCCAACTTGGGAAATGATGCACAGTAGCGAATTATTATATAACATTTTCATGATGCAAATACAATAGATGTAAGATAACCTTAAGAGCGTAGATAATAATAAAATGGAACAAAATCATTGAGAAGTGATAGATTTTGAATAATTATTACCTGTGTTTTTAATATTTTTATTTAATTGTAAGATTATGTATTTAACATTTAATAACGGCTGAATTTAACAATTTGCTTGCAAAATTCCTGAAAATTTATGTATTGGTCTTGCTTAAGTTGCAAGAGCTGGCATTGGTGAACCTCACAGTTGATACCTTTTAAGTTACAGTTTATGAAAGGTATTCAGACCTGCCACTCATTGCACAGTTGTTAATGTCTTTCTTGATATTACTGTCAAGGTCTCATTTAGCACAGAAAGCCCTGGACTAGGAGCCAGGATTCTAATTCTGCTGTGTCCTTTACTCACTGCACAATTCTGAGAAAATTCTTTATCTTCAGTGAGCCTAAATCTCCTGTTAATGAGGTGGATATAAACAATTTTCTACCTTTCTGGGAAAGTTGTTATGGGAATTGAGTAGAGCACTTTATGCAAGTACTTTGAAAACTCCAAAGTAGCCTGTAAATGTAAAGTGCTATCTAAGCCCAAATTTGCCCTAATCTGAAATGCTGAGCTTAACTTTTCTTACTCATAAAATTGCATGAAATAGTCGCTGGCTAAGAATGTAGGCAGTATGTTCTTTTGGAAATTATTGCATTTTGAAATTAAGCTTATGGATTGGTTGCTTAGGACCTAGAAAGCATCCTCCAACAGAGCAATAAATAGTTTATGTAAATATTTGGGTTTTAGCTCTATCTACAAAGCTTATTCAATGCAATATATCTTAAGAGTAGTACCATCATTGACAGAGTTTTCGATGTTATTATTTCTTTGGACTGTCTCTTCTGAGTTACTATTTAGCATAACAGCAAGACCTTTCTTTCCCCCTCCTTTGGTGGTGGTGGACCCTCTGAGGTTAGTCTTCTGGATCTGTGGGCAAATGGTGGGTAGTGCCTTTACCTGGTCAAAGGTCACTTGTTACTCTTGTCACTTCTACTTCCAGGCAGAGATGGGGTTTCTTAGGGTCTCCCAAAAGGTGTTTGAATTTGGCAGTTGGACCCAAGGACATTCCCCACATCCATTAATATGTATTAGATGGTGTTAAGTTGAGTTTATCAAATTGGAAAATGCCTTTATTTGTATGTATGTAAAAGTTTTTTTAAAGGAAGGGTTGAATGACTTGCTGAATTCATACTATTCATTATGTGGTCTTGGAAATCATTAGACCTTCTGGAATTCTCTCTAGGATGTCAAATTTGTATGCATGGATGTTACCACTAAAATCATGTCTTTTCTGTTTCTCTTATCATAAATTAAATAAAAATAGATTGTTTAGTTCAACGAGTGTGGAGCGCTTATGTGTAAGGCACTGGGCTACATTCTGGGAGCATGTAGGATGCTGCTCATTACCACTTAGGAAAACAAACAGAAAACCAAATCAACTAATAAAGTAGGAAGGAAGGTGGACAGAACTACCCCCATTACACTTAGCTCCATCATCACTGTTTAGAAGCAGGGCACTCGTTTATGTCTAAATATAGTAATCACCTGCGAGAACTAACTATGTAGGAGAAAATTCTGAATGAATCAAATCACCTTTCTGTGTGGCGATATGTTACAGCTGTATGCTCGCTGAAGAAAGCATGAACTCTGGAGTTTGGGAAACCTGGGCTTGAATCCCTAATTAGCTACTTACTAGCTGTTTGACTTGGGGCAAATTAGTTACCTTTGTTTTTTCATCTGTAAATTGATGATAATAATACTGACCTCATTGTGATGTGGAAGGATTAAACACCAACACATAATAAGTAATTAAAAATGTTTGTTACCTCTTTATTCTGTCCCTTCATTCATCATTAATGTTTTCATTGGAAATTTAGCTTATAATCACCATTGGAGTTGGAATGCCACCACAATAGTCTGTCATACCTCAAAGTTGACATTTTCCAGATTTGCCGAAACACGGTATGAATTGCTTGCTTTACTGCTTTTGACAGTTTTACATATTCCTCCAGTGAAAGAGCTATCAAGGACTTCTCCTCTGGGCTCTCCTGCCAGAAAATGAAACCTAGAAATATAATAATTTTCAAGAATTCAATGGTTGTAATCTTTAAAATATACCTTACTTATGTGAAAAAGATTCATCTCTTGGACATTTTTGACTCATGACAAATGACTTGAATAAAGCCCATTTTTTTCTAGTCTATGGTGAAACAACCAGAAAGGGCTAGAGGCCAAAATTCACCCCTCTGGCTCTGTTAGCGTCTCTTTATTTCACTCACTTCATTGTTCTGGGCTTTCAACATGAAATAAAATTTGAATTTATAATTATTTCATAGCTTACAACACCAATACAAACTTTGAAAGTAGGTTATGAAATAAATTATTATATAACTAATGCCATTCTTGGTCCACTTCCTTCAGTATGATACAGTAAAGGAATTCTTATAGAGAGCTAAAAGTGAAATAGTAATAGCAATATTTTAATAGAATTGTAATGATACTATTGTTTTTATTAATAACTAGTAATATTTAAAATTTATTTAACAAATGCTTACATATTACTTATCATAGGTCAAGCACTGTTTGATCTATATTTAATATTAATATTATATTTATTTAATATTTCTGATAACCATGTGATGTGGATATAATTATTATACCCATTTTACAAATGAGGAAGACCAAAGCACATAGAGTTTAATTAACGTAGCACAAACCAAGTATTTAAGAAATCGTTTTGTGGTAGATGAAATACTCCTCCAAGATGCTAATAGTTTTCCAAATTCTTATAGATATTAATATGTATTTCACTAATATCTATAAAAAAAGTTTTGTGTCAAAAAGGTTGGTAATGCTGAATTACATATGAGATAATAGAAAAAATATATATAAATATAAACAGTGTCATTTAAAAAATGACAAATTAGTTATTTTGTAGTTATTATATAGGACCTGAATAGAAATTTCTCCAAAGAGAACATACAGATAGTCCACAAACATATGAAAAAAAATCTCAATGTCACTAATCATCAGAGAAATGCGAATTAAAACCACAATGAGATATCACCTCACACCCGTCAGAATGACTATATAAATCAATAAATCAACAAAAAAGTGTTGGCGAGGATATAGAGAAAAGCAAACCTTCGTGCACTGTTGGTAGGATTGCAAATTGGTGCAGCCACAATAGAAAACAGTATGGAGGTTCCTAAAAAAATTAAACATAGAACTACTACCTTATGACCCAGAAATTCCATTCCTGGGTATTTATCCAAAGAAATTCAAAATACTAATTTGAAAAGATATATGCACCCATAGGTTCACTGCAGCATTACTTACAATAGCCAAGATATGGAAACTACAGAAATGCCCATCAATAGACAATTGGATAAAGAAATGGTGGTACATATATACAATGGAATGTTACTCTACCATAAAAAAGAATGAAATGCTACCATTTGCAATAACAAGAATGGACCTAGAGGGTATTATGCTAAGTGAAATAAGTCAGACTGAGAAAGACAAACACCATATAATCTCACTTATATGTGGAATCTAAAGAACAAAATAAACATACAAACAAAACAGCAACAGACTCAGAGATACAGAGAACAAACTGATAGTTACTAGTTGGGAAGGGGATTGGGGGGCTGGGTGAGAAAGGTGACGGGATTAAGAAGTACAAATTGGTGGTTGGAAAGTAGTCATGGGGAAGTGCAATATGGGGAATGTACTCAATGGTATTGTAAAAACTATGTATGATGTCAGATGGGTACTAGACTTATGAGGGGGGGCGTCAGTTAATAAATTATACAAATGTCTGACCACTGTGCTACACACCTGAAACTAATATAAAATAATATTGAATGTAAACTATAATTTAAAAAAATATTCACGACATGTGTAGTGCAGCATGGGGAATATAGTCAATAATGTTGTAATAACTGTGTACAGTGTCAGGTGGGTAGCAGACTTGTTGGGGTTATCACTTTGTGAGTTATGTAAATGTATGATCACTATGTTGTTCTGTATGTCTGAAACTAATTTTAAAAATTAATTAATTAAATAAAAGAATATATAATGTTCTTTGCTCCCAGTTCCTGGCACAGAGCTCCTAAAACTGTTGTAATTTCCTAAGCGATAAGAGCACTAAGAACATCTTTTGTTCTAATATTTAGTCTTTGGCCCTTGTTTCTGATATAGGGCTCCTAAATCCCTGGGCATTTCCTGGGTGATAGCGATGTCATTTTTCCTTTTTTAAAATTTTTTAATTTATTTTCCAATTACAGTTGACAAGCAATATTATATTAGTTTCGGGTGTACAACATAGTGATTAGACATATATATACACCTTACGAAGTGATCACCCTGATAAATCTGGCACTGATAAATCATATGTTCAGTGTCTTTTTTTCTTGATGAGGTGACTCCTGGTGAGCTCCTTGATGGGGGCTAGTCACCAGAAAGACCAAGCCTTAATGAGAAACTTGGAATTTTCAGCCCCACCCTCCATTCTCCAAGTAGGGGAGAGGGCCTGGAAATGGAGTTAATGATTGATCATGCCTACATGATGAAGCCTCCAAAACACCCCAAAAGTGTGAGGTGCAGAGAGCTTCTAGGTTGGTGACTCTATGGAGGTGCTGGTAGAGTGGTGTGCCTGGAGAGGGAGTGAAGCTCAGAGCCCCTTCCCACATTCCCTGCTTACTCATCTCTCCCAGCTGCATGTTCATCTGTATCCTTTATCACAACCTCTTATAATAAACTAGTAAACAGTAAGTAAATTGTTTTACAGAGTTCCATAAGCCCACCTAGAGAATTAATCAAACCTGAGGGGGGTGGGTGTCAGTGGGAACTTCCAAATGTATCAGAAGCACAGGTGAAGTGATATCTGAAGTGTGGGGGGGACAGTCTTGTGGGACTGAGACCTTAACCTGTGGCATCTGACACTATATCCAGGTATATTGTATCAGAATCAAGTTAAATTGTAGGATACCCTGTTGGTGTCATGGAGAATTGCTTCATAGGGGAGAGCCCTCACACACCTGGTGTCAGAAGTATTGTGAGGGTGTTAGTAGTGTGAGAGTAAAAGAGGTAGACAGGAGGAGAACTGGTCTGTGCATTACATCGCAATGCAGCTGTTAAAAAAGGAAGTGATTCCTGTGATTCTGTAGTGGTCTTTGTAGTGATTCCTGTAGGTTTTGTAAGATACACCTTAGACTCAAATACCTGCGAGTACAATCTGAGGTTTGTTCTCATCCATATTTGAGTTTGTGTTAACAGGTATTTGAGGGAGGACGTATGAGGAGCTTGCCTGGAGAGAACGTTCCAAACTACTTAAGCTGGCATGACAAACACAGGTGTTTAAAACTCATTCATTTTGTTTTCTGAGTTAAGAGGGATGAACGAGGAAAAAAGAACTGTTGACCTTATACGGCCTTATCCTAGTACTTACAAGTTTGTCCAAAACAAGAGAGGGCTTAAGAAAAATGGCTCCCAGGTCATGAGGAAGCTATGGAGGTAGCAGCTGCTTGCAGAAAGCCTGAAGATAGGATTGTCAGGGCATGCCCAAGGAAGCTTTTAGGAGTTAAGTCAATTATGCAGCAATTTTCAGCCCTATTCCCTCTTCCCTTCTGTGGTATTTAAATTGACTTTAAATATTTTGGTGTTTCAAATACGTCATGGATTTTAATCTTATACGTTTCTAAAGGGCTTTTATCTAATTTGGTTTAATGTGTCATATTTTGTAACTGAACTTAATTAAAATTTATATATAAATATGCGTGTATGTGTGTGTGTGCACATGCGCCATGTGCATGTGTACCTTGGCTGAGCCTGAGAAAAAATAAGCAGCATGCTAATAATGCTTGATTCTTGTTTCAGGTTTAAGACCTGGTGACTGATGTTGGCAACGTAAGGATATTGTATCTTATTAAATTCTTTCCTGGAGAGATGCCATGTGAAAAGAGGTACAGCCACCCAGGAAGCTACCTTTTGTGGGTAGAAATATGTCAGAGAGGGGGCAGAGATTCTAAGGCCAGCAGATTAGAAACAGATTCCAGTAAGCAGCTCTCAAAACGCTCAGTCCTTGGGGAGGCGAGCAGAGGACTGGCTGTCCTGAGGCAGCAGGTTTTGCTCATTTCTGAGAATCCTTGGGACAACTGCTCTGCTTGGCAGAGGGCCACACAGTCCTTCTGCCAAAGTACACTTAGCATGTGGTCCTCCCCATCTGTAACTCTAGAGTTTAGACCAACTGAGCAAGGGGTGAGTTTGTAATGTCACCCCTCATCAATCAGAATACCAGAAAACATGGTTATCAGTGGGAGTTTTGGCTGAGTTTTCTTTCGGGGAAATGAAAAAAAGGAAGCACATTGATTAGAAGATGATGTTGAAACATTCTCATTAAAATCAACTCTAATTAGGAATTTTTAGTATAGAATCTCAAATCAGTTTGTAGTCGCCCAACATACAGGTGAGGTAACTGCAGCCCAGAGATGTTTAATAACTTGGTTATGATGTAGTGAGTTAATGCAGAGCTAGGTCTAGAACCCTGTTCTTCTTATTTCCAGACTAATGGCTGTTCTGTTTTACTGCTGTCCTTGAGTTTGGTTCAATAGCTTCTGGTTTTCATTCTAATCAAATGAGATTGTATTTGCAACTGCTGCTTTTTGTGTTTGGTGCCTCAAAGCTTCATATTATGGAAGTCTGTCAGTATAAGTGAAGATTAAAAAAAAAAGTTCAAAAAGAAGTAGTGAAAGCCTATAGCAAATGATTTGCCTTCTGGCCAAAAATTGAAGGGAGATTTCTTTATCATGAGAACAGGAGAGTACAGGAGATTATCTTTACTGATTTTTTTTATACTTCCAACTAAAGCTTAGTTCTTCAATTTCCATTGAGTTCTCTTACATTTTTCTAAAGTTTTCTAAGTCATTTATTCAGTATAATGAATTTAGAATCCCTTGCCAAACCTCCAGTGCCCCCCATGACTTAAAATAGGAACATTAGAATTTCTGAAATCGGAATATTAGAATTTCTGAGCACTAGTCAAAGATTGGGAGGAAGGTTGCACAGTCTCCTAAGGTTCCTTCCAGTATGTTTCCATTTTTAAGGTGGTTATTGTCCTCAATCAGCATGAAATGATGGAAATAACCGGGGTTTTGAAATCTGGATTTGAGCCCTGGTTCCACCATTTACTAGTTGGTAGAATTGGACAAGTTATTGAACTTTTCTGAGGCACAGTTTCCTGTTTTATAAGTTGTTCAGATGGTAATGCAAGTCTAACCTTCTGCCTTTCAACTGTACTGACCTTCCCATGAATCATATAGTCAATGTGAGAGGAAGTTTCGTTATGTTCATTTCACCTCTAATGCTCTTAAATTTTCCACACCACTGTTTTTTTTATCATCCCCTTTTTTCCATGTTTGTATAACTTCTTTCCTTCCAGCTTTGTCTCCCATTATTGACTCAGGGCTTGACTCTTACACTTGAAGGCTGATTTTGCTTCTCTAGTGTTTTGACTTTCAAGACACTCATGGGCATATTTTTCCGATAACCTCTTTCTCCATTTGCTCCTGGCATTTCTGAGTGATTACTCAGCCACTCAAGACTTAGCCTAGGAATCCATCCTGGCATGTGGGTGGATGGCCTCCCATCAGTTTGTCCTGATCCACTCCAGAGCAGTCAGAGGATGTATGAGAATTAAAACAAGCAACCTTTATGAAGGGTCCATAACATTGCCTGGTACAGAGTAAATGTGAAAATGCTAAATTATGTTATTCCCTAGGAGTGAGGATCATGGCCACATGCTTCCTGAGAAGGGTAGCCAAGTGCCAGGGACAAGGCTGGTGGGAGTAATGAGAGGTTAATGAGGAGGCGGACAAGGATGTGTCTCATGGCTTCACTGCTGCTTCCAACCTATTAGTTCTGAGACTCTTTATTTCCCCAAATGATAAAAAGATGTAACATACCCAGTGCCCATCATCTGTACGTTAGGGATTGGATTATATGTCCGTGAGCATACTTGTTTTGTTCTCCCACAATTTCTTTCATCTGAATTGTCTCCACAGTCATTTTCTCCATTGCATTCTAACTTGCTAGCAATGCAGCGGCCTAGTCAAGAAAAGCAAACAACAACATTGACAATAAATGATCATTTAAGACAGTATTTATTAATTTGAAACATTAGTGCCTTAAATTTCAAGGAAAATTTAAGAAAAGTTTTCATTATTTTTTTAAGTGACTCATCCAAGATCATGCACTTAAAAATTAAAAAAAATTTTTTTTTTTAAATTACAGGTGACATTCAATATTATATTAGTTTCAGGATCTACAGCATAATGGTTAGACATTTATATAATTTATGAAGTGATCCCCCTGATAAGTCTAGTACCCACCTAAGCTTTCATTATATTTGATAAAAATTTAGGAACATATGGAAATGGAATGATAAACTGATATTCTCTGTTATTTTTTTAGGATTAAAAATGTCACCATAGATTATTTAGTCAGCATTGGGCTGATTGTCTTAAATAAGATAACTGATTCTAGATGTCTTAAATAAGATAACTGATTCTAGAATCCTATTCCCATTACAAAGAACTTTATGTAAAAGCATGTTCTGTAGGAGAAAATGAACAATAGGTTTAGAATTTGGATAGCAGACTCAAGGTCACTGTTTTTATTCAAAAAACTGTAATTTTACAAACACACCCACATATATACACATCCACTAGTACATATTGTTCCAAGACTGAATCTCTAAAATTTTATGTTAAGTGAAAGAAGCCAGACACATAGGAATCATGCATTGTGAGTCCTTTATAGGATGTTCAAAAACAAGGAGAGGGATTCACAGGAAAGAGGAAAAAAGTAATGTTTTCGGGTTTATGGAAAATTTTCACATCTTAATTTGGGGGTTGTTTACATGGATGTATACATTTGTCAAAATAAAATTGCACATTTATTATCAGCATTTTAATATATACAATTATTTTACTATACATGATTACTACATATTTTATTATATATTCACTATATGTAATTATAGTATATAATTGTTTACTACAATTAATTTACTATATCTAATTTTTTTGACTAGTTAAATGCCTAGGTGCTACAATATTAGGAGGCAGGTTAAATGATTGAATTTAGGAAATAGTACAAGCTTCATGTACTTAGATAATTCCTTTCTCTTTTAAACTTGCTGAATTTCATAAAGATCCTTGGAATCAATAACTATCTATTACAGAAATTCAAATGCCTCATACGCAAAGACAACGCCTCTCACGTCCCTCACCCTCTTGCATGTAATAAAGGGTGCTGGCGTTCCACCATTATGTACAGGTCTCACTGACAATGGTTACATGTTTTACTCAAGATTATCTAGTTAACTATTTTAGGTTGTGGTCAGCATCTCACTACAGCTACACGTGATTATTTTGACTAACTGAGATGCTTGGGGAAATTGGGTATTCTGTTGAATACATTTTTCTATTAATAGAAAATTCCCCAGAAACCACTTAGTTTCAACTCTTTTGGTTAATAATTTTCACTCAGAAGGTAGAGCGTAATAAAAGTAATTAAGTCCCCCTTTGATTATTCAAAATCTTGCATTGCATCTAGATCATTATTATAAAGAATTATAGTTATGAGCCCCAGAATCATACAAGACTGAAAATATAGAGGGAGTTGAATTTCTGTTAATCTCAGGATATAACCTGAAAGATGTTATTTTAAGAAGAGCACACCTCTAGTTTTTTGTTTGTTTGGCTTTTTTTCAGGACAAAAACAGAATGGTAATTTATTTTGAAATAGAGATTATTTTACTAAAGAAAAAACCCCAAATATTACAATTCAAAAATATTTGGAACCTGGCACAAACTTGAACAAAAACTAATTTTTTATATAGTTACACTAAACCCCCCCCCCCTATTTTATCAAATACAGGTAGGGATACACATGCAGGATATGGTTCTCGTTAGCCTAACTTTGTGAGCAGGGTATCAGATTTGTTAGGATACAAGAAATTCTATCCATTTGATACTTTTAGGTATACTGGAGAAGACCTATTAGCAAGGGTAGGGATGAAAACAAGAGGATAGCTCTTGAGTGATACTTAGGAATAAGTGGCAGGAGGGACATAGGTCTCAAGGAACACTGAGACCTATGAGAATGGTTCCAGGCAATGAAAACTCAATGGCGTAGGAAGCACAAGGGGAGAGACATTGGAAGCCATACATATATCCTGTACCAAAGAAAGGATGGGAAAGACGAGGGGCAGTTTGGATAGTGCAGGATTTGCAGCAGTCAGCATTTACCCAGCACATATGCATAGTACATATGCACTTACACCTGGAGCTATGTAATCATTTAGAAACGGTACATGTTTTTCCCATCTATGTAGTTGGACTGATTTGCATTACTGCAACAATATTATTTTTATAACCAACTGCAAATGCTCTAGTCTTCCATGCTTAAAATTAGGACTTCGAGAGAGAAGTTGGCACAGAGCATGGGGATTACACTCATTGGTAATTCTCAAAGATATACGTTAAAGTAATATACTTAGTCTTGAGGACTCTGAATGGCAACTATGTGGGAGAAAAGGGAAGAGGGAAACTCCCTTTAGGACAGACAGTTCTTAGGACAAACATCATCCTGAGTCAGATAAGTAAAGGTCCCTCTAGCCTTTTATTCCCGTGGAGAGTGGCATTAGTGGGTGTTTTTAGGAGAATATTTATCTTTAGTAGAACATTTAACAACCAGTACATGGCACCACCCAATCAGAATGTCTGCCAAGCACATCTGTGTCAGGGATTAACCAATTAATGGCTGAAACCTGGGAAAATCTAGGGGTTCCCGGTGAAGGAAACTGGACAACAGGGCAGGGGTTACTCACGGAGCTCAGGGTAGTAGCTGGTTACCAGCCATTGCAGATGCTTATTTGTTTGTCTGTTTGTTTGTTTATTTATCCAATCACTGTGGACATATTGCTGATGAACTAGAGGTCAGCTGCGTATATATACCACTAATGTTCCTGAAATTGCTCATTATGAATTGGTGGTCCATGGGTGTTTTTAAAGCACCTTTAAATTTGTGAATATTTTTGGCCCAAAGAAAACTCTTTTGTAATAAATTTCATAAATGTATCATCCATTGAATAAAGGAGTTCTTCCTGGTAATTTGTTCTAAAAACTATTCTACCAGCTTCAAATGGTTACACTTCAGTCCTAAATCTTTATCTTAATATTCTGGATATAATGCTTAGGTCTGTATTCCCCTCAGTCATTGCCATCAAGATTTTTCTTATATTCCCTCTTTTTATTTGGTCAATATCTCACATGCCCTTATTCATATGGCATGATCTATATCTTCCTACCCACGTCCCACCCTGTGTCTCAGGTTTGGGGAGCAGGAGGGAAAACCCTGACACCAGCATTTCTGTCAGACATTCAGAAAAGATTGGCAAAGCTGAAGAGAGGAAGCAAGGAGTAAGAGGAGAAAAATATTATATCCAAGGTTTGGGGTCAATTTTCTATGGAATTTGAAATCTGCTATCCAGTATAAATACTTTACTTTTCAGTGTATTCCAGAGTACACAGAAGTGATGTAAATTGTATTCATCTGAATCCTAATTTTAATTTCAAATTGACTATTTAGATAAGAGATCAGTGAACTATGGCCCATGAGCTAAAACTAACCTGCGGCCTGTTTTTGTAAGTAAAACTTTATTGGAACACAGCCATGTTCATTTGTTGATACACCATCTATGGCAGTTTTGATGCTACAATACCAGAATCGAGTACGTGCAAAGCCTAAGATATTTACCATCTAGACTTTTACTGAAAATGTTTGCAGAAATCTGATCTGGACTATTTAAAGTGGTGAACGTTGTTGAGCTATTAATTAGCAAGATAATACATAGATTAAGTAGTACATTTCAGATTTTATTATAATCCAATGAAACTTAAATATCAGAATTTCTGACTCTGAATGAGTATTGGACTTGAAGGGAAAGTTGCCATCATTTAAACCACTTGCAGTCTCCTCTTCTGGAATAACCTTTGGCACCACCAAAGGACCACCCCAGAAAATTGGTCGCATCATCTCTAGTCATCCTCCTGATACACTATTTTAATATTAATATTTGTATCTTAATAAACTATATTGAAAATCTCTTAAATCTGTTGCTCCTTTTCAAGTGCTTATTCTGATTATAGATTTGGGCTTATTAATAGCCGATTTTAAAAAAGTATCTGCCTACTTCTCCTTTTCCTCCTCCTCCGCTCTCTTCCTCCTGCTTGATAGCAATTTAGGGACCTGGGCACCAGTACTTGATGAGCAAATGAATTATGTAAGTGGTCAAGATGATTATAGCTTGAAAACTGTAATTTCACACATGCATACCTTGGTAATTGGTAGCATAACACCCCCATCTCCCCATGCTTAAAATATGGTGGGACTCCTCTATCACAGCTTTTACTGAGGTCAATTGGAATAACTTTATTTTAGTCAAGTCATTTTAGTGGACACTGAACATTTTCCAAAAGTACATTACCACTGTCACAGCGGAATTTATTCTTGCAGTCAACCTCTTCGATGTTGCAGAGTTTGGAGGGAATGCATGGTCGAAAAGTCACCAGGGGCTCAGTGCATGGTTGTCCTCCAAACTGACTGGGGCGCAAAACAGATCTAACCTTAAACTGAAAGGAAAGGAGAGAAAGATGAGTTACTCTGAGGCATTGTCCAAGCCAAAATGAATCTAAGAAAACTGGGCTTAAAAATCACAATAGTGATTTTTACTACAGTGGTGTTTCCTAAATTAGCTGATGATTTTTCCAATTCCATTATTGTGTGTCTTTAAGGAAGTCATCACCTATCTGGGCCCCAGTTTCCTTAAAATGAGGAAGTAAGGCAAAACGTTTTCTAAGACTTCTAACTGTGAAATCATGTAATTCTAAAATAAATAGAAATCAAATACACAAATAATTACTGAATGTCTCCTGAGTGTAGATTCTTCCAGGCAATAGCAATAGCCCTTCTATATCTCAAAGGTAGTGAGATGTGAGTGATAAATATGAAAGGATTTGGGGGTTCTTTTGCACAAGGAAGTCACCATGGAAACCAAGGTTGACATAATCTCTACACTTTAAAAGATTTTAAATGGTGAGTAGTAAAACAGAGAGTCAGGGAGGGATAGAAATATGGCAGGATTAAAAAGTACTGACTTTGATGTCAGAAAAATCCAAGTTCAAAATGTAGCTCTACATTCATTAGTGGTGTATTCTTGGGTGAATTACTTAACTCCTAAAGAGCCATAACTTCCTCATCTGTAAAATGGATAGGAAACCACAATGTGATGTGAAGTTTGCATAAAGTAATAGATGTAAAGGCCTGGAACAGTTTACCTCAGAAAGCGGGTGCTCCACAAATGAGTTTCTTTTTCTTCCCTAACGTATGAATGCCCAGCACCTGCCCTAACGGGTTCACATGGGCAATGTTCTTACAGCAATGAACTTGAGGTGGGTAAATATTGCAACTGGGAACAATAAACAAATTGAGGGACTTTCCCGTGGGAGAGGGAAGTTAGAGGAAGGGCAAGGAGTCAGGCTTTTGATTAATGTCCCTCGTTTCTGTCTGATTTTAAACCTTGAACTCAAATTCCCATTTTCTAGCACCTGCTTTTGCTTCCTGAGCGATCAGAGCCAGGCACATTCAACACCAATAGTGGGGGCAGAATTTCCTTTGATGGTTCCACAACAGTGAAACATGTAAAATGAATGTGCCACCCCCCCCCAAAATGGCTAAATGAAATTTTCCCTTAGTGGAAGGTGGGAAAGTTTATTTTCAGAAATTGAAGAAACAGCATTTCTGTGATTGTTGACACTTTCAGGGAATCCAAGCCTTTTTATTGTGATTCAGATTTCCTGAATATGCCCACGTATCACCTACCTGTTTTTCAACACAAGGGTCACAGTCTGACCATGGTCCATAATCTCCCAGAAGGCAGTTGATAGGACAAGTTTGCCAGTTACAGTCTCTGGTCTCCTGCTTGGTGCAAAGCTGCTCACAGGAGTTCTTCCGGTAGTACTCATCTACTACTATTTCCCTGTAACAGTGAGGAAAAAGCTGCTTAACATGAATATATTCACTGTGCCTTGAGACTTATAAGAAAAATATCATTGAGCATTAACTACAGTGAATAAAAGCAAAGAAGGTTTTCATGGGCAATCAGGTAGGTTGGCATATGTGCAGTTCTTACCACTTAATGGAACTCAGGAACAGGCATGTAATTTGTGGGGCCCAGTGCAAAATGAAAATGGGGGACCTCTGACTCAAAAATTGTGAAGAATTTCAAGAGAGTGACGGCAGAGCATTAAGCCAAGCATGGAGCCCTTCTAAGTGTAGGATCCTGTACAGATCACACACCGTGAAGCTGGCCCTGATGGAATTCCTGGAAGGAGCTGGAAGGGAAAGAAAGGAAAGAAGAAAGTTCCTACGAATTGCTTAAAAGATCACAACACAATGTGATAAGTATTTACAATGATTCAGATGGAATTAGAGGGGTGTGAGGTCAAACAGTCAAAGAGAAAGTAACACGAAAGATGCGTCTTGAAAAATTCATGTGGCATCTCCAGGCAACAAAAAGAAAGGTAGTGGAGGGAACAGAAGGTGCAAAGATTAGAGGTGGAAGAGGATGACATGGATGTGTGGAACGGGCTTGAGAAGTGCATGATTGAGAGGAACTGGATATATTGTTGTACTTTATTTGGTAGGCAGTAAGAGAGCGACTGAGGGACTCGAGTAGAGGAACATTATAAACAAATCTGTTTTTACATACTTGGTAGATGGTTTACTGGGGAAATCAATGGATGATTTTAATGAGACTCATACTACATATACAAAAATAGTTTTCTAAAATAGGTCTCTAAAAAAATACTCTAATAGTTAAAACACATTAAATATATGCCTTTCTCTCCTATCATCTGAGCATCTTCATGAAACAGAAACACCCAACAGATTTAAAAAAAACTGTGGGGTCAAGTAGTCTGAATTGGTGAAAAGATTGAATTATTAAATGCTATCAAGTAAATACAGTATTCTTGCCTTCTTATACATGCCAACAATGAAGTAACAGCTAGCAGTGCTGTTCAGTTGAGATCCTGTTCAACTCAGTTTAATGAGTAGAAAATTCTCTATAATTAACTCACCAACTGGAGGCTAGCAGAGCTCTATGGGGATTGAAAAGAAGCTTGAGTAATCATTCTAAGTAAGTTAAATAGTCAACTGAAAATATTGCAGATTCTTAATTAAATTTCTTTGAAACTAGTCAATTTTATGGAGAGAACAAAAGTAGACTTCCATTCAACCTTATGCAGGAAAGACCTCAAATTCCATCCAAATTCTGAGTTCTTACTTTGAGACTTATTGTTTTTTTCCCATTGCTTAGTGTAGCACTTTTGATATTGCTAACTCTGTCCTCAAGGTTTCCCAGGGTGCACAGAAAACCTGCATAGCTCACACCCACCTCCTTCTGCTCTGGGTTCCAGAATTGCAGGTTTTTGAGCAGCTGGACCATGAAGTCCATGGGTAATGATCACAGAAGCAGGCTTGGCTCTTGTCAATCAGAGCACTCAGCAGGATGAAATATAAAATGGAGTGTCTGGCCATGTCTTGAGAGTTTCCAGGCCCTGAAGAAGAAGAATATCAAACTCTTGTTAGGGATAAAACTTTACAAATCATTCTCAGTTACAGACTTAGATATTATCTTAGAAAACATCTGCATCTCCCTGCCTTCCTTTAGGTGAGTTAACACCTATAAATTCACATGCTGATCAGTGCAAATCTTATTTCTAAAGATTTTTTTTTTAAGATTTTTATTGGGGAATTGGGGCAATGGGAACAGCTCTGGGGCATTGGGGGAAGGGGAACAGACAAGTTGCTGTCGTTTTGTTCTTCAGTCTAGTTGTGGAGGACATTGCTTCACTGGCCCAAGTTGGCACCATCATTGCGCCCTTCCTGGCAGATCAGTCACCGGCTTCTGGATGGCTGCTCACTGCGGCTGCTGGCCACTCACGCTGGCTGATGGCTACACACGGTAGCTCATGGCAACCCACTGCCTCAGGGGCTGCAGCCTACGCCATCACCGGCGACTCAAGGCAACCCAGCTCCAGGTTGAGCTGTTGTTCAGCATCTTAGCTGTGGAGGGCAGTGTCACTGGCCCTCATATGTGGGATCTGAACCGAGGCCCTTTGGCGTCCCAAGCCAGTTCTTAACCATCGTGCCACTTGGCCGGCCCTCTAAAGATTTTTAGGGTAGATATTCCCATGGTTACAACCCCCAGAATGAGTTTCTCTGAACTGTTAGTGATAGGCTACAAGACAAAGTATGTTGTATATATTTGTAACCCATTTCATTCCAAAATGGGAAATCCTATATAACCTTATACTTTCCAGAGCAACTGCTCATTTTGTGTGGGTAGGACCCTCAAGTATATTTCAGTTTTTCATACTTTTCTGGGGCTGGGGAAGGTGCCAGGACCATACTGCTGGAAGTTCTAGTTTCCTGACATCCTGGGAACCTGATAAAGAGAACAGTTTGCTTTCTGATTAGCCCTACCTACAGAGTCATAAAGGTCAGAGCTGGAATGGATCTTTGATATCTTCAGGTTAAACTCCGTCCTTTTATGGATGATGCAACTGAGGCTGAAGGAGGGGTAATAGTATTGAGGTTACATGACAAGTAAGAACCCAGGACTCCTCACTCTTAGATGAGGTGCATCCCAGCACTGAATTTCTAATAACACTAATTATTGTGCTATTGGAGAATCTCTGGATGCCTGGAGCTCCACCCCCAGGCCAGGAGAGGATTTGTCCAGATGTGGCTGAATGCCAGAGAAAACCTGTAGTTCCCACCTGTGTGCTGTGGAGCCTTGAGGATCTGTGAATTATTGTAAAGAACTTGGCAATCTCTTCCCCCTACTATTGCCATTTTGATCTTTATATCTCTAACAAAACATGCGACATGTTTAAATATATAGAGAAAATACTGCTATCATTAATATAGTAACTTCCATTTAGAGAAGTAAAATGCCACTTACCTATTTTCTCTGTCTCAGTTTCATTATTTTAAAAATAGGAATAATACTTTTACCCTCTTCAAAAGGAGTTTTTTAGGTTTCAGTAAGAAAATTTGTGTAAAGTGCTTAAAACAAAGCTTGGCATAGAATCATCACTCAATAAGTATTAGCTTTTCAAATTAGTAATAACAATTAAGAGTGCTGCAAATTTAATTGTCACTGTTGGTCATGCATTTTTCAAAATTAGGGGCTCCTTGAAATACAGCAAGGATCATGTGAAGATTGAAAATATGTCTTGATATTGAATAAGGCTATTCATATTCAAAGTGATTTAGACATATGACTTTAATTGCTTTTCATCGTAGAAATAAAATCAGATCCCTGGTCATTTTATTGGAAATTGCAATTTCCCACTAGTGTTTCTTCTCCTCTTTCACTGCTTTATTGTTCTCTGTTATACAACCCCTCCTATATATACATTATTATTTAAGTTTAAATAAATACCTTCTCTTTCGCCTTCATCATTAGAATGCAAACACCATGGTGGTAAATCTTTTTTTGCCTGTTTTGTTCAGTTCAACATTTAGAAGAGTGATAACAAACATAATATATAATAAAATAAATATTGTTAAATTGATTTTGAGTAGAAAAAACTGTACAAATGGGTTTTAGTAAAATCTAAATAATGTAATTTGAGTTCATAAATGCAGCAACTTCTGTAATACTATTATTAATAGTTCTGCCAGATAAAGGATATTTCATAGATTTTGGAAATGAACTTATCTGTTCAATTCTCATTCATTGCTTTAGCAAGAGTGATAGTTTACAGCATAACTGGCTTATCTCTAGTTTGTTGTAATAGCTGACTGAAATAAAAAAAACTAGACCTCTTGAGATTCAGATTTATTTTTAAACACTTGTAATTTATTTAGTTAGTCCACAACTTATTTATTTGAATACATCTATTGTCATCTAAAAACATAGAAAAGTATGAAGAAGAAAAGTAACATGTTTCAAAATATAATCAACCAGAAAAATCCTGTTGTCATTCAAAAAATACAAATAACACATGCCTATATTTGGAAACTTTAAACAGAACAGAAAGAAAAGTATAAGGCCTAAGTTGTCCTCTACTTGTTGCCAGAACCCCTACCCTCACATAATCACTGTTTTCTCTTTTTGTGGGTATCCAACAAAGGGAAAAGTTTCCCACACATCAGCTTACACATATACACATATGCATGTTCTATTTTGCTCAGATGCATATATGCATGTTCTTTAAATATATATACAACAAAGAGAACATATGATGTATATTACTCTGCACTTTGCTTTTTTTCACATCAGAATGTACTTTGAAGTTATTTTGTATAAATAAATGCATATCTATTTAATTCCTTTTAATGGCTACACATTTTATACCACATGGATGCATTATGTTGGATTTAACCGTTATCTTAATTGTGGACATTTAGTATATACACACATTGCAATAAACATCTTTGCAATATAACAGCATACTTTTGTAGTATCCATGGGGCCAACAGTCATATTCCTAGCAGTAAAATGGCTCAACGATATGTAAATTTAAAATTTTGATTGATATTGCCAAATTTTCTTACTGAAATACGGCTCCCTCACATGTCTCAGAGGATGAGCTTCTGATTATATTTTAATGTGGTTACTATACATTTCTTAGCTGTGATGAAACAATCCTTCACAGTAAAAAATAACGTTCTTCATTTTATAAATTTTTGTTCAAGCCAAAAGCTTGAAATCAGATATAAAACTTGTTTCTCCAATATGCTAAAAAATTAGAGCATTTCTTTTTAATAAATAAGTAAGCTTCTTGAACTTTCCTACAAACTCAGAGAAAGATGCTGGAATAAAAGCAACCAAATTTATTGACATATGGCTAAATATGTCCTTCAATTTAAAATGGAGTCAACACACATTTGAGTATCTATTGTGTGCCACTAGGCATTGCGTGAAATACAAAGAAATAGAATTCATTATCATTGTCTGGGGAGGGTAGACAGAAACTGAAGATACTTCTCATGCTTTTTATCTAAGCTTTTATATCCAATTCATAGATAAGCTGCTACACTCCTAGGCCATTTCAATCATAAAAATGATCACTGCATTTGCCTGCTGATTTTAGTTTACTGGTAAATAACTCAACTTTCCTGGTTTTTTTCAGCAGCACAGAAGGATAGGACATTAGGACTAGAGTGTTCAGATCGAATTTAGGCTGTGATCAGACAGAATGGTGTGTGAGTCCTAAACATCAGACCTGAGCTCCAGATTAGGTGTATTTTTAAAGGCCCTCAGTAGCTGAGGTTCCTCAATAATGTGAAGTTAATTTCTGTTAACCACAAACCACCACCCATCCCCCACCCCCACTCCCAAACTGGGCTCTTATACAGGATTTGCTTCAACAAGGAAAGCTAATCAGAGGGTTTTGTTGTTGTTGTTTATTTATTTGTTTTTTTCTCATTGCTTTTGAAGAAATAGATATCTTCCAGAATAATTCTTTCAATTTAGAGAAAACAAATTCTTATATCATTTTGTGGAATCAGCATGTAAATGATTGAGAGAAGTTGAATGACAGGAGATTACCAGTTCTCAGTTCTCAGCAGACACTACCTGTTTTAACTTCCAAAAGGTTGACAAGTATGGGTGGATTTTATTTCAATTATCATCAAAAACAGCAAGAACAGAACTCTTATAAAATATTCTGATCTCTACTTTGGATATAACTGTTCTGAGGCAATTTGGAAGATGCACTAAATTAAGATGGTACGTCAAAGCTTCTTATTTGAGGAGAGCTAATAAAAGAGCTAATGAGTAGCTTCTCCTTTTATAGCATTTTATTGTCATGAAGGAAAATTGTTTTATGTTAAAAAGATAATTTTCATTCAAATAAAGATAATTATTTCTCTAATTTTGTTTTTATTCATGGCCCAGCATACAATATCAAATTGTTCCTTATTTATTAATTTCTATCATCTCTAAGCATTTTGGATATATCTAAAATTATTTGAGGACATTTGACTCATTACCATACAATTTTTATCCACACATGGAACAAAAGAATACTCAAGTGATAGAGGAAGATAGTTAAGAAACATTTACCACTGCAGGGCCACAGCAGGAGGGCAGGAGTCCTGCAGTTTTCTCATAATTGCCATCCCCACTTGAATTTTAAACATCAGTGATTTCCATTGAACTATCGAAAATGGCTTTGTAAGCATTTAGAGAACGCTAGTGTAATGTGAAGTCCGTTTTATTTTGACCTGTCACCCTCCGATATATACCTGACTCACGTGACGGGTCTGTCTGTACGGCAGTTCACCGTATCTTACCAACAGGTTCAGTGGATGATCTAGCTTGTTCCCAAATGCAGGTTCTTTCTTTCCATCTCCTTGTGAACTTCTTGAATCTCTTATTTCTTATTCTTTTTTTCTTCTGTGCATTCCCAGGGGCTCAAAAAAGCATATTTACTATTGCTAGGGCCGACTGGGGAGCCTAGGCACATGACTGATCTTTTGGCCAGAGGGCATGTTTACTTTACTTTTAACTCTAAACAACAAGGTAGTTCCCTGGAGGAAAATTTCTTTAGGAAACAAGAACCTTTGGTTCTTTTGAGATTTAAGAAGTTATTTCTTATTTTAAAAGAAAGACAAAGAAATGGCTATAGTCTGACATGTATTTTTACACATGAAAGGGTAAGTTTGTTGGAAATATATAATCTACAATTTTGAAATAGTAGAGTACAAATGAAATGATTAAGTCACTCACCTTTAAATAGTTTGTGCTGGCCAGGGAACAAATCTGTAAATGCACAAGGAAACAATAGGTCTCACAATAAGAAGGATTTATATGATAATCCAAACAAACCTTTTTTTCCCTATTGCTAGCTAACACAAGGTAACCCTGTCATATCTCAGAAACACACAAAGTAAACATTCTGTGGAAACTCTGGCCTTTGTAAATGATAACTTCAATCAGCAGCGACCCGGAAACCCTTAAGAGTGAGATAATATACAAGGTATTGAATTTTCGATGATTTTCTCATTCAAGGGATAGTATAATAAATATTTCAGCTGCAGAGAAAAGAAATCCCTGACTCTACTT